GTTCCCTTTTGCTCGTTGATGTTCTATTTTCTTCCTCCCAAAGACTATCTGTACTTTAAAATGTCTGTTCCAAAGCTAAGGAAAAAAATAGTAGAATCCTGTAGTACGGGAACAAACCAAATATGTATTTGAATTTTACTTCAAAAATTTCCAGAAATAATAACGTCAATTTTCGAAACAATCTTTCAATTTTTTTGTTTCAATAAAATTAAAATAAAAAACCCTAAATTATTTCAGTGAAATATTAGACCCCAAATCATTTCCAATAATACTATGTCGTATCAAATTAAATCAACACCCTATTTGAAAAGAATGGTATCGGCAAGTAAACAAAATGGACAGCTACAAAAATTAAAAGAAGAATATGAACGTATAAAAGATTTCGATGAAAAGGCCCTTGAGAAGAGAATGCGTCAAGTTCGGTTGAAAAGACTATTCAAGGAAATAGAAGATCTTAAGGTGGCCAACTTTAAAAGGAAGAAATTTTCGAGTATTCCTGAGGAGCCAGCAACTCCTCCCAATGATCCACGCTTGGAAAATTTATTAAAAGCTCGTAAAATGGGTGAAGTTTATTCGCAGCTCAATGGTTATAATGAGATATTGCCGTCAACAACTAGTGCAACCATGCCCTTAGACCCCACCGAGGCCTTAAGAATTGGTTTACTCTCGAAGAGACAAATACAAGAACGCGAGCGACAAAAAGAAGAAGAAAAGAGAATGAAAGTTAGGGAGCGCAAACAGTATGGCAATCAAATATCCAATTGGAATATGCATAAAATGTTGCAGAAGAAATTGCGCAGCGAGGTAGCGCAAGGTATAAAACAAACTACATTCTGTACTGTGGTAAAGGGGAATGGGTCCTTCAGTCGTCAAGATTCGAATATAACTAGTGATACTTCTTTGGATGGTAAGGAACGTTTAAAAACTCGCGTCGATTATGGGAACTTCTTATCCGAACGAAATCGGCGTGTCATAATGAAAAGAAAATGGAAACAACCTCAATTCCATGGGTATAAGGATGAGGAAAGTCTTGCTGCTGGTAACCTTGTAATTGATGCTTCCAAACATTCACAATCATTGAGTGAAGATCTTGTGTATGAAAGTGCTTTTGATATATCAAACCACACGACAGTTGAAACTTGTAATGAAGGCAGGCGTATGAAGGCTCTTCAAAATTGGCATAAATTAGTGATGTTATTGCTTTGTCGTAGCACAACTTTTGGAAAAGAACTCGATTTTAATCTACGTAATATTTCCAATGATACCAATCTTCGACAAAATGATTCTGCAATGCAAGGATCCGAATCTTTGGTAATAAGCGATAAGGAAGATAGTCAAGAAATTTTATTAAATAAGGAAGATTTGGGCTATAGAAAACCTCCTACCAAGATAACTAAAGATTGCAAGAAAATAGAAAATAATTTAACACCACTACCAACTGCCCCGACGACAAATCAAATGACATTAGGCCCAAAACCAATTCTTAAAAAATCCACTTTAGCATTAACCAAAGACGAGCAAATCAAAACGTTGATACAAAATTATGCACGAAAAGAAATTGTGGAAATGAGTGTTCAGAAGCTGCGTGAAATTTTCGAACATCATAATTCGTAAAAATTTAAAACAAATAATTAATAGATTTTCATTAAATATTTTGGCTAGTTATAAATAAAGTTTACCGATTACTTTCATTTCATTTGATTTATCAAATAATATTAAATAAATTTAATTTGAAATTATATATAAAGTGCAGTACATACTAGCCAACATCAGTGATAGTCAAAAATGTAATACAACATTTTTAAATAGAAACCCCAACTTGAGTGTCACTCATGTTTGTTAGGGTGTATTGTACTTAAATCTGAATAACATCAGTTGGCATTATAAATATCCATCGATTTATTATAAAAATTTTGAATTTTTTGGAAATAAAAAATATTGGATACTTCTATTAGTTTTAAATCTACACAAAGATGATGGAAGGGGGTTATAAGTTTGTGTGACCCCAAGAGTTTTGTTCAAATTCCACAAAACTACACAGCGATCAATCTAGTCTAGATGAATAAATCAGCGATATGTAAATAGTACTGCCTACGGGAGGCAGAGCTGAATGCTAAAGGACGCAACCACAGGTTGCGGATAGTGGGTGAGAGTCTCGGGGAAGTCCGTATGATCCCAGGACTGACGAGGCGCCTTTTTAATTATCCACTTCCAAGATCTTAGGTCACTACCTTCCAACCGAACTCGTGCCCACCAGTGTTCTACGGTTTGCAGTCAGGGTCCCGACTGTATTAGAACAGAGCCTTGTTGATACTTGAGCGCATCAAAAAGGTTTTCAAGCTTAGTCGCCGAGTCCTTACCATGGTACGAGACTATGCCATGGCCGACCTTAAATCCTTATTCTATGCAGCCGAATTTTAATACCTCCTCGTTGGAGGTCGCCAAAATCCTTATAGAAACACACTAAGTCTGAGGTCGTCCTCAAGTGTTACTGATTACTGCCGACTCTGTTATGACGAGGAGAAGACGGGAACAATTGATTATCTCCTGCATCGCTGTCCAGTTCTGGATTGCAGACGGCATAGATTAGTGGGTGTTCACTTTTCACCGTGTCTAAACTTCTATTCTGCTTTAATCTACATCATCAGAAACCGGATGTGGTTGGGACAGCGCAACCTGAACACATAATATATTTTTGCCCAAATTTCTACAATCATTCAGTCACAGTTAGTGACTGCACATCCCCAAACTTAACCTAACCAGTGAAAGGTTTGGTTCAAATCGGATAGCCGTTCGCATGATATTATAAAATTAAATTTCAGCAAAATATTGACTATTTTGTGTGGGAGGTATGAGAAGAATTCCGTCTTCCATCTTGAATTAAGTTTGAAAGAAATATTACGATGTGCATATTTGCCATAAAATCGGACATTCCACGCCATTTTTTTTATTGAATTAACAAATTTTCAAAACATTACAATAACCAATATTACAATAAACATTCATATAAGATTTGCAAATTTTCAAAATGTGGGGGAGCTACTAGAAGGCGTGGACCGATAATTCCAATTTCCTAACAGTATACAGGTATGGTTAAAATATTAGGATTTGCAAAGTTATGTTAAAAACCTTAAAAATACCGATAATGGCGTTATATGGGGGCTACGTCATACAACTATATCTGAAAAAAATTTCGCCCACCAAAAAATCATAAATTCAAATTACAATCAATTGGATACGACCATTGTATGAAGAAGAGGTCTAAACTAAGACCTTTATCAACAAAAAAATTGAAAAAATGTTTTCTACCCTTAAAGAACTCGGATTAGCTTCTTTGGTGGGAAAATTTTGCTGAATTTTTCAAAATACCTACAATGGGGCTATATATGGGGGCCATGTCAAAAAATGGTCCTATATCTAAATTTTTAAAAACTCGAAACTCGACCTTTACCAAAAAAAAAAAAAATTAAAAAAATGTTTCCACTCTCCACCAATACTTACAGAATAACCACTCTGGTGGGAAAATTCTGCCTGAATTTTTCAAAATTCCGACATAGGACTGTGTTAAAATATTGTTATTAAGAATTTTCGGTCCTCGTTGGGTAGCAAAAATCCCTATCAAAAATTGTATTGGATTATGGGAATTTTAAGAAAATTATATATCAAATATGGCTACAAATTAACATTTCTAGCGTCCTTGGAAAAAATGTTTACCCTATTTTAAATATGTTAATTTTAACCCTATAAGTCCCAACACACATTTCTTTGCTGCAAAACCTCATTAGTACTCGTATACATCCGATAAAGAAACATTTGTTTATGTTGATTGGATTCCGCTATTCCTTATAATGGAAGTATATAACTTTTTAAATTGCTACAAAAGTCCTCTTTCACTTTCTTAAAACCTTTACATTAACAAACACACACAATTTTTTTAATATTTCTTTATTTTTATTAAAAATATTTAACATAAAAAATATATGTATTTCTCATAAACATTTTATATTGTTGTTGTTATTAGTATATTTTTTTCTCTCTATCAAAGCAAAACATTCTATTATCTCTGGTTCATCAAAATAATAAACATAAATTTTAATGGGAATTGTTTAACATCATGCAAGGAAAGAAAACAAAAATAAAATATTAAGAAAAAAAGTAACCAAGGATATGCACATGGGATATTGTGTGAAGTATATATCCAAATTAGCAAAAAACTCGATATAAATATCTTCGCAAACTTCTGGGATATATGTATGTGTAAACGAACATTAAAATAAATGCTTAAAATTAGAATAGAAACAATAATATTACAAATAAGAATATTTGATAAATAGAAAACCATTTTACTGAGATTTTTTGTTGTTTCTTTTACATTATGTTTGAAGAAAAAAAAATATGCATTTTACGAAATATTTTTTTTGTTTTAAATTAAAGCTTACAAAATAAATATAGAATAGATTTTAAAAGTAAATGCTAAATATATTTATAGAAAAACGATATTGCGTATAATAGTAGCATTATAATAATGTTTTTTTTATCAATTTTACGAAAAGAATATTACGAAATTTTTAATTTCAAATAACAATCTAAAAAATATAAGAATTATTTAAATAAAAAGAGGAGGGATAATTACCGGATAATTAGAATAATATTTTCTTAATAAAATAATAAACTTGAAAGTAATTATTAAATGAAATTTGTTTTTGTTTTTAAATTGAAATGAGCGCCGCTCTTTACAAGGTTTAATCAAACTGATTGATATGCTCTAAATAAATAAATACATACATGAAAAAACTTGGTTTTTCCTGACAAAGTACACAGAAGATAACTTAAATTTTAAAGGTATTACAAAAAGACAATTTTTTGCAAATTAAATAAAAAACAAGATTGGCCATTAGATAATGTTTTGCTATCACACATAAGATTTCTAAAACAAACATAGAAGGGAACGACTTAGTTTGAAAACATATATTTATATGTTTGTGTATAACTCCATTTTTAAATAGATGATTTAGAAGATGAGGAGCTTCTTCTTCTTTTTGGTTTTTTGTTTATCCAAACTCAATTCGGATTCATCGGCATCCTGGAAAAAGAAAACAAAAAATAAATTAATAATTATTTAAATTAAAAAATAATACTTTTAATTATAGAAATATTGTTATCGACAATTGTTTAGTATTAAAATTGTTTTACCGAAACTCAGTTTTCTATAGAAAATTATTTTCTCTAATTTAAAAAATTTATTATCTGAATTGAGAAGTTGTTATCGATAACTTTTCGTTAGAGAAAATTTGTTATTGATAACTGTTCGATATAAAAAAAAGTTGTCATCGATATCTTTTCGTTTTAGATCGATAACTTTTCGTTATAGAAACTTTGTTATTAATAACTTTTCGTTATAAAAAAGATTTTATCGGCAAGTTTTCGCTACAGAAAAGTTGTTATCGACAACATTTCGTTAATTTTTTAGTTTTGAAAATTATTTCATTACAGAAAATTTGTTATCGATAAATTTTCGTTACAGGAAAGTTGTTATCGATAAATGTTCGTTACAGATAATTTGTTATCGATGATTTTTCTTTATAGAATATTGTTTATCGATGATTTTTTGATATAGAACTTTTATTATCAATGACTTTTCGTTATAGAAAAGTTGTTATCGATAACCTTTCTTACAGAAATGTTGTTATCGATGACTTTTCGTTGTAGAAAATTTGTTATCGACAACCTTTCGTTAGAGAAATGCTGTTATCGATGAATTTTCGTTATATAAAATTTAATATCGTTGACTTTTCATTATAGAAAAGCTTTTTGTTATTGAAAAGTTATCGATTAATTTTCGCTATAGAAATGTTGTTATCGATGATTTTTCTTTATAGAAAACTTTTTATCCGCAACCTTTCGTTATAGAATAGTTGTTGCCGACAACTTTTCGCTATAGAAATGTTGTTATCGACAACTTTTCGTTATAGAAATGTTGTTATCGACAACTTTTCGTTAAAGAAAAGTTGTTATAGATGCATTTTTGTTATAGAAATTTTATTATCGATATATTTTCGTTATAAAAAAGTTGTTATCGACAACTTTTCGCTATAGAATATTTGTCATCGACAGATTTTCCATATAGAAAATATGTTATCGACAACTTTTCGTTATGGAATATCTGTTATCGAAACTTTTCGTTATAAAAACGTTTATATCGTCCACATTGCTTTAAGGAAAGGTTGTAATCAGCTAGTTTTCTTCAAGGAAAACAATTCATATAGATAAGGAGTTATCGACAACTTCCCCTTATATAGTTTTTCATTGTAGATTTTTGATTTGTTTTTCTATTGAAATGATTTTTGATTTGTTTTTCGTTTCCTTACCTTATCAGCATCTAATTTTTTGTTCTTTGCCAACTTTTTATATTCCTTTTGTTTTTTCTTCTCCTTTTTCGATAATTTCGTTAACGTTGAGGATTTTTGTTTTTCCGGTTCATCGTCCCGTTTGCTGGCAATGTGTGATTCCAAACGTTGTTTAATGCTCTGAAAAGATGACATTAAAATAATAATTAAATAATTTTTAAAATTATTAATTTGTGCGTGATAATACCTGATCTTCTTCGGCTTCTCGCAGGCGATCCATTTCCAAGCATTCCACAACTTCATTGCGTAATTTCACCACCTCAAGCAAGCGTTCGATGAACGCCTCTTCTCTGGCTTTATCCGAATCGGTTTTATTACATTCCGGTTGGGCCATAAGTACACGTATTTCATATTCCAAATCGGCTTGTTCTTGTTCCAGGCGGTGTTGGCGTCTCCTAGAAAAGGTGAAAAGAAGAGAAATGGAAATGGTTACTATCTTTTTAGGAAAAATATATTCTTTAATTAAATTTTGTTTTGTAATACTTACAGATACATTAATTCAGCTTGTCGCCGGAACAATTCATTCTTTTCATTGACCAATTCAAACAACTGCAAAATCAAGCCCTCAACTTCTTTGGAATTTTCACCATCTGTGGTGGCAATTTCACCGGCTGCATTCAGTAGCTCACCATTTTCACCCTCACAACGATCACGAATCATTTTCTCCAATATGACACCCTGTTTCTCGAGACCCTGTTGCTGTACTTCTATGATATCCAATTCATGTTTAATTTCTTGTAGCGGTAACATTTGTAATACCCTTCTTGGTGGTATGGGTAATGCGGGTGCCGGACCCTTACGTCTTTTCCATTTACCATGGACGGATTTATTAAATAGCGGATCATTATCTTCCGTACCCGATGATGCGGCCGATATTTGTGATTGTCTATTACGATTATTGGCCTCCTTGTTATCCTTTAGCTTTTCCAATTGGCGCTCTCCCGACATTGTAGAACTGTTTAGATCATCAATTAGGGGATTTGATTCGTGTGTGGGTGTATCCAAATTATGAGGTATCAGCAGACGTCGATATACCACATTGGGTTCAGATTCTTCTTGCAGATAGTTTTTATTATTTTGATTTTGTTGTTGATGTTTCAGATCGTCACATTGACTTTCATTGCCACCGTCTGAGGGGGAATGTTCTTCCAGCAGATCCTGATCGAGAGGTATTAAACGTTTCGATGAACGCCTGATGGTGGCTGGTGATGATAGTTGGTCTTTATGTGTTTGCGACTGTATAGTCTTACCCTCCAACAAAGCTTTCTCTTCGTCGGATAATTTCGAGTCCAATTCACTCTGCAGAGGGTAACTATGCAAGTTTTTTGGCTGCGTAGTAACGGTGTCGATTTGTATTTGTGGTACTGTGGCCGGTTCCAAACGGGCTGGCTTTGGTGGTGCAGGTGCTGGCCTCTTTTTGCGTCCTGACTTGGGGGTGCCGACGGTACTGGAACTGGGTGTGGAGGTCTTGGAGCTAGTATTTATGGTTTCCGAAGAGGGGAACAACTCCTTGACGGGGGCTGGTGGTAGAGGAGCCCGCCGAGTTTTACGCGATCTTATGGTACCTCCAGCCGAAAGATTTAGTGAATTATTTGAGGATCTGATATCGGAATTACGCAAGAGATTATTGTTCTGGTTGTTCGGTGTTGATGACAAATTATGATGGCTGTGCAATGAATTGTTACTGCCATAGAAATCACTGGAATTTTGTAAAACAAATGAAGAATTGTTGTGGTGTGAGTTGGAGTTGTTGTGCTGCTGACTGATGCTGCTGTTCACCGGCTGGGCCGCCTTTGTGCTGAGACGTGGTGTTGGTTCAGGTGTGGGATTTAGGGATTGCGATCTAAGTTTGTGTGGTGGAATATATTTGTATTTTAACATTGTTGTTTTTTAGAATAAGAAGAAGAGTGTATGGATTGGATTTGCAAATAGAGATGTGGGTGTTGGTGGTTGGATGTATGGTGTGGATGATGAAATAAAGCTGTTTAACACATTCTGAAAATGTTTTTTGGGTTTTTGCACAATTTTTTTTTATTGTCGGCACTTTAGATGAGTAGCCTAATGGTTCTCTTTCGAGTGGTATTTAATAACTGAAATTGAAATGTCTTCAAAATTACAGCTGTTGTTGTTGATTGGCCGTCCGAATGACCGAACAAGAAGAAGTTCAGTGACCAGTTGTTGCTGCTGTTGTCGATTATTTTGTTTGCAAGCCAAAACCTACAGCCAGGGAAGAACTTGGCCGCTTGGCTACCTTTTCAACTAAGGAAATTTTTACCAACTTAGGTGTGAGACACAAGGCGTTGAATTTTTCTTTTATTTTTTGTAGGTTTTTTAATGAAAAGTGACGCCAAAAAAGAAATTTCTGTGTCACTTCGTTGTGGTTTTGTTGGTGAATATGAGAAACGGAACTAAGACCGTTACTTCACTTGGCAATGGTAATAATGATGATGATGACTATGACGATAATGATGACCAACATATGCATGAGGTTTATAATTTTATTGCCAACAAAAACAAATGATGACCAAGGCGATAGCAAAATAATAACAGAAAACACGAAGCAATGAAAGTGCGCATGCGTAACACAACAAGAAATATGAACACAATTCAAATTAACAGAACCGCACCGTTGTCCATCATATGTTATTTATTGTTGTTGTTATTATGACTACTGTTGTTGTTGTGGCTGCTATTTTCTAGCGTCTTGTAAATTTTATTTTATTTTTCTTTTTATTTAAATTTATTTCAATTTGTTTCTGTTCTGCTTGACAAATCCGGCACAATAACTAAAAGCTTGAATTAACGCCGCTAACCGTGGTGGAAAATAAAAACGACATTTGACACCCACTTGCTAGCGACCCGCACATCAGAGTGTGTCTTGAGGTTCGTTGGTCTTCAAATAATTTTTTGCAAAAACAAAACAACAAAAAAACTACTTTACATAGGGTCTAGGTCTGGGTTTATTTATTTTTTTGTTCCGATGTAAAGGAAACCGAATATTTTTTTACGACAAATTTCCGACGGTGTTTTCTCGTGTGTTGTTAACGCCGCACGTACGATATGTTGTTGTTTGGTTTACAGCTAATTTAGAACTGGCATACCATGTTAGTAATATCTTCTATTCAAAGTCGACAAAATAGTTTCCTATGCAGCATGTGCTTGCTTATTAACTGCTGGCTGTTACGGCTGCTACAACAAATCTTGCCCACAATACCAACAATAATAATGTTGTGTGTGGTTTTTTGTTATTTCTACGTTACAACTGTGTGAAGAGGTGTAAGGCCGACCGATAGTCTGTCTATCGTTTAGTTTTTTTCTTCTGCTTCTAATACAACCTAATCAGGGGAGTCGTTCGTCAGTTTTAGATAAATCAACAAGTCGTGTGTGTGTGTGAGCGTTCGTGCTTATAAAAAAATTTTAGCAGCCAAAAATTGTAATCACAAACAGAAAAATAACAACAACAAAAAATATTCAAATATTGTGATTATATTTTTGGTTCGTGCTAATGATTTCAGTTGTTGTTTTCTGTTTGGTGATAACTATTTAGACCATCAATGTGACAAATTGTTAAAGGGCGAAGTAAATGAAAACTAGGCAATAAAAACATGTAAAATCAAGATCAACCAGAAGTTTGGAGTTTTTTGGAAATAAAACTTGTATTAAAAAAATAAAATAATAATGTAGGTGAATGAAAGTGTTTTTTAGAATTAAAAACAAAATAATAATACGAGTTTGAGAAAAATATCATAAATGATCTAAATAATTGAGGTGGATTGGGAAGGAATGACGAAAATTAGGGGTGTAAACGTTTTCCATTGAAATCTGATATCTATTGCATTTAACTCTAATGCGCATGTCATATGGGAGAGCCTATAGCGGATTGAATTTTGTAAAACCATGCAGAAAGTAAAAGTGAAACATCTGAAACATATTCTATCGTGATTTTAGTAAATAAAATTAGACTTTGAAAATGGAATTATAAAGCTCTGTTCTGAATTTCCTGCGGGGAGACGACTTCTTACGAGGAAAATTTTGTTTCCTATCAGATATTTCCTCGGGAGAAAGGTTTTTGTTGACCCAATGGGTTTAAATTCTCAATTCCATTGTATATTGTATAAATATAATACAAATAAATCCTCAAAAGGTAAAAAGTTCTATTGTAAATGCCGTTTTAAGTGGATTTAACATAGGCGACCTTTTTCGGATATAATTAAAACAATCAATTTTTTTAGTCGCAAATATTTCTTTTGAAATTCAAATCTGTTGATTTGTAATTCAAATAATTCTAAATCAAGTTTATGTAATTAAAAACATATTAATATAATTTGAATTACAGACAGACTTTTTTCATTATAAATGGAATATTTTGAATATTAAAATAGAATGCCTAATCTGACTTTCAAATTTTGTCATTAAAAGGCCAATATAATCAAATTAGAATAATGTTTTAAAAGACGTTTTTTCAAAAACGTCTGGGCAGGTGTTCATATCTTTTTATGGGATTTGTCATGGTTATTTCTAACTTCTTCCTCTACTATATTTTCCTTTTTAGGTACTCAGTATGAGTACAATGGATGAAAGTCTCCGAGTAAAAGCAGCTGCTAGACAACTGGTGGCTGCACAGCCTTTAACCAAAAATTTAACCTAAAACGAGGCGAGGTTCGAAACTTTTAATACCCCTCGATCAAGATCTATGTGACTATTTTAATTATCAACAAAATCAAACTAATAAGCACTATTTACAATTTGTTATATCGTCGCCTGCTGATAATCGTAATAGACAATCGCCTCATTTCGGCAGTCTCAACGGATACGGAAGATAATGATCCGCTATTTAATAAATCAGTCCATGGTAAATGGAAAATATATTAGGGTCCGATACCTGATTTACCCATACCACCAAGAGGGTACTACAAATGCTATCATTGCAAGAAATTAAAAATTTATTGTATATTCCCGAATCAATTTCATATAGGAGAAAATGATTCGGTGGGTGATAAAATGGTGGGCTTTTAAATGCAGCCGAAGAAATTGCAAAAAAGATTAGAAACGGATGTACCAGGGATGATTAACTTGAAACTAATTGAAATACAAATATTAATTTTTTGTCCCGAATCAAACCTCTTTGCTAGATATTTTTCCGATGGTTCTAAGTTAGAGTACGTAACAGGTACTTCATTTTATTTATTGAAAATAAAAAGGAGACCATTTGCCTGATCTTTCATGGGAGGTCTGGAGGATATGTTCAATATACAGAAGACTTGAAGTTAATTTATCTGAAAATCTAGAGAAAGCTTTTTATAAAGAGAAGGCAGGAAGAAGAAATGTTGTCTATAGAAGACCACCACTATTATTCGTGAGATAACGCTCAAAATGGATATGTTTGTTTTTGTTTGTTTTTTTGAATACCTCAAATATGACAGGCCTTTTCTCCTGATAAGAACTCCACACTTCTTTTGAAATTACATGGATGCTTAACAGATTTGTTGCTCCTTTTCTTAGAGTTCCTTATTTAAAGACCACCGCAGATACATTGATACACGGATCAAATATGAACTGCATATATAACACTTTTGCTGAAAGTTTTTAAAAATCCTCCGATCAGTCCTCACTATTCAAAACACATTCTGTGAAACCCAATCGTACTCAATAAACCCGATTTCAAATTGTTAGACAACAACGAAGATTGATATTGCGGAAAAAGACTGCATTAATTTACTCAAATAACATTTGTTCATTATAAAGACTTCAGGTTCTTATAAAGACCAAATGATTTGTGTAGAGGAACACAGGTCTTTATAAAGACCAATATAATCCAAATCTATAAAATATATCACGAATGAACTCAATCTGTATCGAAAATCTTCTTTAAATTTGTCGGTAAAAGATAATAAACAAAAACTAAATTAATTTTTGGCGATTTTTCTACGAAAATCACCCGACAACACTGGAAAATAAGACGAAGAAGATCACCATCCAAAATACCTCAAGCATCAATTGGTTGGTTAAATGAAAATGAAAATCCAGCACATGCAATGCTGATTTGCAGTAAACCACAGAAATTAAATTTACAGCTGATAAAAAGAAATGAGTTGACAATTTTGTTTTGCTCAAATAAAAGAAAATAAAAAGAAGAAACAACGAAATCCATTAACACTAAAAATAATGTACAAGAAACAATGTGTCTTATGTTTAGAGCCAATAAAAAAATGAATATTACTCGACGTTGTTTTACTCTTTCCGACCGGAAGTTTTTTTGGTAACGTCGTAAAATGTAATACAAGATGCCTATGACACTAGACACTGCACTTCTGCCTCCATAGCCAGCCACCACAATATGTCTTGCTGCCAATTTTGCCACTGCATTTAGCACCGCAATTAGAGCCTACCCTTCAGACTTTGGTATAAAAAGGTTAACAACAGTGTTTGGTTTTGGTTTACACCGAGTTGTGTGAGCGAGATAATGAGAAATAACAACAAGTTGTATTGACTTAATACCAAGTAACATTGTTTTGTTTGGCTTTTGGTCGCCCAAAACCCCAGCTGTGGTAAAGTCATGTTATAATAACCCAGAATATTGACTGACTGGTTGGTTTGCTGGTTGGGTTTGAATGACTGAACCATGGCTCTTCAAAGTTAATAAGTTTAACATGAATTTGTACTTTAATTTTATTGTGTGAATTTGAATTTGTTTGTTGTTAACTGCAAAGAAGAAAAAACACTTGTCTACCAGTTTATCGGTTTGGTTTTATTAATTCTTTCTTTTTCCCTTGTTTATTTTCTTTTTTCCTGTGTGTGTGGTGGGTAAATACTGAAAGAAAGTCAACCCAGTAACGTAAATAT